TACAAATTTTACGAAATTGAATGGAAACATTACAAAGACAAATGTAAAAAAAAAACACTGCAACTAAAAAGGTTATTAGCTAGAGATTTCGACCTTTGCGGCAGTTATTTATTCCGATATTTCTCATTGTGCATCACCAGAGCTTCATATCGAAAACATTATTGTCTAAGGTATCGCAATGCTAGCGTTGTCTGTGCAATTGCAAAGCTCTATGTTATATATAGGATATCCGACGATTATCTCGGGACAAGGCAAATTTTATATACACTCATTCGTATGGTGGAGGGTATAAAATATCATGCATACCATTTATATTTATAGTCAATATTTAAAAGATCTTTCAAGGACTGGGAAAATTTTCAGGCTTATCCAATATGGATTTTAAATCTATAGAAATTTTGTCTCTAAATAACTTTCTTGATTAACTGAAAACTTCCTAAGATATCATTGGAAATACTACTAAAATTGTTTATAAAATACTGCTGCTAAACTTCTATAATAACTTCCATGTTATATTTTTTCTTGCAGATTAACCAGTGGAACCCTACAAACCGGGATGGATATATTTTCAATGCAAAATTAACTCCAAATGCCAGAAAAATAGGTTGGTGTGGTGACTACACCATTATTAGAAATAATCGGCAGGTAAGTCGTACGAAATGTTGAAAATAAATTAAAAAATAACACTGTGCGACAAATTGAATGAGTTTTCAATTACTTCTGGAAAAGGGGACCTGGAAGACCCCTTCAGTGAGTCGGTTGAGGGTAAAAGTTTTATACCAATATATTCTTCGATATTTTATCAGTAATATTGCCGAAGACACTATATACCTAAAATACAAAAATTTTAAGAAATCATAATTCGAAAATTATCAAAATTCTTGAAAAGGCGGAATATTGTCCCTCCTTTTTTAGGTTATCCCCGATGTAAACTTTCAAAGCGCCGATACACGTGTATTCTTTTTTTATCCCATTTTTCATAATCTGTTGGCATTTCCAGGTAATTATTTTTTGTGTTGATCAATGTGATCAAATTAATACTAATTTTATTCATCATGTCGGTCTAGCGTATTTTTATACCTATGGGACCTCTATGGTATCTTATCTTAAAATAAAATTCACTGTCATACTCCAGGTTAGCTTAGAATATTCGGATAAGACCTTCAATATATCAAACAAGGGAAAATTAATATTGAAACATCACTATACTTAATTTTAGGGCGATGTCAAGACTTACACCTAATTATAATTGGAACATGATATATAGGGATTAAGAAGTTGTTGGCCACATGACACCGAAAATTTCAAATTTCATCCACTACGATTGGAAAAAGAGCAAAATAGAATTTCTAAAATAGGGCGAATTCATATATTGTGTTTATGGCAAAACCTTGAAGAACCAGGCATATCAAATTACAGCTCGTTTTGTTGGAAAATGTGGCTAAAACAAATCAAACCAGTAAGGAAAGTAGTAAAGTCGGACTAGGCCGACTATATCATACCCTTCACCACTTTGGGTATATTCTATATATGTATCCGAAAAGACGTCGCCTTTTTGAAGGAATTTTGACATGAAATTGAACGAACTTAAATATGTGATTTGTATGTCTTTCTGGAACCTATGTTAAATTTCATTTCATTTGGGCAAGTTTAGAGTCGTTTGGGCACTGTGTAAATCGATTTAAGGGGACCCCCCCATTCTCGGGGTCAAAACTTTTGTTGATATAATTCGAATCTACACTGATTAAAGAATGTCTCTACAAAATTTCAAGTGAAAATCTCAAGAACTCTTGAAGATATAGCTGATTTATTGTGTCGGCATCAAGTGACGGCTGAAGGACTTTTCAAACTTTAAACGCGTTTTTCTCTAAACATTTTTTTTGCGTATGGCGGGCACGATAACTCAAAAACTAATAATCCAATCGGTTCCAAATTTTGCAACGTTTCTCTGGGAGTGTATAGCTATCGTATGAACTAGGATAAAGCCAATCGGTAAAGATCTTCTTTATTTTTTAACTTGGTTTTTGGTAAAAAATCGGCGATTTTCTAAAAATATTTTTTCAAAGGCCCATCATTTTGTTAATTTTAGAGCGAAGTCAATAATCCTAGTTCATACGAGAGACAGACATGTACTCTTTCTAACACCGTTGGAATTTTCGGATTCCGATGTTCCAGTGAGGAGTTATCATGCCCGCCATCAAAAATAAGGACTTTTCTTTAATTACAAAAAACAACAACAAAACAATAACAAAATTTTTTTGTAAATTATTTTTCTTCTCTTTTAAATCTTCAATTATATATGTTCAAAGTTACAAACCTTAACAGGCATTGGTATTGTTTTACCAGCCCATTGAAAATATTGAAAAATTGAAATCGAGAATGGGTGGGGTTCCTTTAAATCAAACTTGGCACACGCTGTTCGGTATGTTGCACTGTTTAAAATTTAATTTCAATCAGACACCTATTGATTATTTGGTGTACAATTAACATATATAAGTCGAATTTATATATATGGAAGCTACGATATATCTATATCTGAACCGATTTGAAGCAAACTTGCCAGAGATTAATTTATATTAACTATGAAACTATGTAAGGAAGCCATAACTAAATCTGAACCGATTTTCACGAAACTTAGCACACATCATTCTAGACTTAATTTAGTACGCTATGCCAAAATTCATGCCAATCAAAAGATTACCAGGAACTGTGGTGCACCATTTACCTAAAATCGGGTGAAAATATATATATGAAAGCTATTTGTAAATCTAAACCGATTTTCACGAAACTTAGCACACATAATTATAGACCTAATTCAATAGGCTATACCAAATAAAATCGGGCGAAACTATATATGGGAGCTATATCTAAATCTTAACCGATTTTCACGAAACTTAGCACACATCATTCTAGACCGAATTCAGTAAGCTATACCAATTTTCGTGCAACTCGAAAGATATATAGGGACTTTGGTACACTATTTCCCTTAAATCGGGCGAAACTATATACGGGAGCTATATCTAAATCTAAACCGATTTTCCCGAAATTTAACATACGTCATTCTAGACATAATTCAATACGCTATGCAAAAATTCGTGCACATCAAATGATTTTCAGGCACTTTGGTACACCATTTACATTAAATCGGGCGAAACTCCATATGGGAGCTATATCTAAATCTGAACCGATTTTCACAAAACTTAGCACACATCATTCTAGACTTAATTCAATACGTTATGCCAAATTTCCTGCAAATCGAAAGAAATATAGGGACTTTGGTGCACCATTTACCTAAAATAGGGCGAAACTATGTATGGGAGCTATATCTAAATCTGAACCGATTTTCACGAAACTTAGCACACATCATTCTAGACTTAATTCAATACGAAGATTCGTACAAATCTAATGATTTTCAGGGACTTTGGTGCACAATTTACCTAAAATCGGGCGAAACTATATATGGGAGCTATATCTAAATCTGAACCGATTTTCCCGAAATTTAGCACACGTCATTGTCGACTTAATTTAGTAAGCTATGCGAAAATTCGTGCAAATCTAATGATTTTCAGGGACTTTGGTGACCCTTTTACCTAAAATCGGACGAAAATATATATGGGAGCTGTATCTAAATCTGAACCGATTTTCTCCAGTTTCAATAGGGTTCGTCCTTGGGCCAAACCAATGGGCTGTGCACAATTTCATCCAATTCGGATCATAAATGCGACCTGTACTTTGCTCACAAAAATACACGGACGGACAGACAGACGGACATGCATAAATCGACTCTGAATGTGATTCTATGCATATTCTCAAAAGGAACCTTGTGTCTATCTCGATTCCTTTTGCCTGTTACAAACATATGCACAACGACATACCTTGTACCACAGTGTGGTGAAGGGTATTAATATGTAAAAACGGCCGGGTCCGACATATGGAGGATATACCAAAAGGTGGACATATTTTGAAAACGTGTATGTTCTTCAGCATAAGGGGTAGGACATATACAATTTGTCCTTTCGCTAGCAATACCGTGAAATATTCATTAAAGACCCTATATAGTATCTTATTGATTCTATATCGAATTAGCAATTCTCGTCTTTCTGTTTGTTTATTGAAATATTCGGATTTTTGGAACTTGGTGAACACTATTCAGCCGAATTCGATGTGCAGGTTCTCATTCGGTAGGAAATCTTCCTACCTTAAAAAAGTTTGGGTAATTGTGGAGAGTATACAAATTAGATACTGAGCTTTACAGCGATTTTATCACAAAAATATTTTTTAAAATACATATATATATATATATATAAAATGACCCTGGAATAACATATAATTTTTTTTTTATTTTTTTAAGACGTTACCCATTCCTCACTGGGAACATAATTAATCAATCAAAAATATTTGCTTATTTGTTTTATTGAATAAAAATACACTACATACAGTTTAACAAAACAATATTTTTGTCAACTAAATCTAAGATTTACAAACTAAGACAAAGCTTTGCTGATTTTGTCGAATTAACAAAATCGTCTTATATTTTACAAACTACAAATACACAACTTAAACAAATAGTTACTTTTTGTACATTAAACAAATATATATAAATAAATGAAAATACATAAAAGAAAACAGAAATAGAAGCACAACGAAAGGAAATCAGTAATAAAGAATATAAATATGTGTTAGAACTGAAATATGCAGTTTCGGAATCTATTCACAGTATCTGCATAAAACGATAAATTCATAGTCGAAAGAGACAAAAGCGAAAAACAGTTGGACAGCAGCAGCATCATAGATCATAGAAGTTGGTCATCACAGTCAATATGTTTTTTTTTTTTTTAACAACTCAAAATTCCAAAAAAATAACAATGTCTCAAAAAATATTGCAGCTACTGGGCAATATTATTTTTAATTCTTTCCAGAGCCATCGGTGCACTTATTTTTTTAGTTTGGTTTTTGTTTTTTGTTCATGGTTTTTTCTCTTCACTTCCTTATCCGGCATTTCACACATTGGTCTTGACAGTTGGCGCTGCTGGCACGACGGGCAACTTTTTTACACCCTGGTGAAATGGCATTGCCTCAGTCGGAGGCGGCATATGCATCGGAGGTCGGGTAACACCCATCATATTATTACCAATTATAACGGGCATGGGTACTGCCGTCGCTGCTATTACTGGCACTGCTGCTGGCGCAGCCCCACCAACATTACCGCTCGGCAACGGCATTGTATGCTGATTGTGAGCCAACTCTTGTCGCTGCTGTTGTTGTTGTTGCTGCAATTGCTGCAGCTGAATATTGACCAAATTTTGAGCATGTTTCAATTTGTAATTCTCGACACGTCGCAAATTCCTCACCAACCGATTGTAGACGAGTGTCTTGACATCTATGGCCCATAGGAAATCTAAATGGTTGAATTTTTCCATTGGCACTAAATATTTGTCAATAACATGCGGCAGTTCACGTGCCAAACGATCAACGCCCGTTGTCGACACCAACATATCGTTCATCGAATAGTAGAGGGCCACTGGCACTTTGACCTTGGATAAATCGTAATCGGGTGGTGTCATACGATTATATTCCAATTGGTTACGTAAATAGCCGCGATCGAATTTGCTGAAGTGGCCAGACTTCATGAGTTGGCCGAAATGTTCCAATTGTTTGATGGACGCACCAGAGGGTGTGTGACTTAACATAACGGGCAGCATGGTCTGTAATATAAACAAAGGAGAGGAAATTGGTTATATACTTAGTAAATAATATACTAAAAAAGTAAAATAAAAAATAACACAATTAAAAATAATAACCCAATAAATTCGCCTCTGATGGCTTTTGAAAAAATATTCTTTAAAAATCTACGCCTTGGTGGAGCCTTGAAAAAATATTCTTTAAAAATCTACGCCTTGGTGGACCCTTGAAAAAATATTCTTTAAAAATCTACGCCTTGGTGGAGCCTTGAAAAAATATTCTTTAAAAATCTACGCCTTGGTGGAGCCTTGAAAAAATATTCTTTAAAAATCTACGCCTTGGTGGAGCCTTGAAAAAATATTCTTTAAAAATCTACGCCTTGGTGGAGCCTTGAAAAAATATTCTTTAAAAATCTACGCCTTGGTGGAGCCTTGAAAAAATATTCTTTAAAAATATACGCCTTGGTGGAGCCTTGAAAAAATATTCTTTAAAAATCTACGCCTTGGTGGAGCCTTGAAAAAATATTCTTTTAAAATCTACGCCTTGGTGGAGCCTTGAAAAAATATTCTTTAAAAATCTACGCCTTGGTGGAGCCTTGAAAAAATATTCTTTAAAAATCTACGCCTTGGTGGAGCCTTGAAAAAATATTCTTTAAAAATCTACGCCTTGGTGGAGCCTTGAAAAAATATTCTTTAAAAATCTACGCCTTGGTGGAGCCTTGAAAAAATATTCTTTAAAAATCTACGCCTTGGTGGAGCCTTGAAAAAATATTCTTTAAAAATCTACGCCTTGGTGGAGCCTTGAAAAAATATTCTTTAAAAATCTACGCCTTGGTGGAGCCTTGAAAAAATATTCTTTAAAAATCTACGCCTTGGTGGAGCCTTGAAAAAATATTCTTTAAAAATCTACGCCTTGGTGGAGCCTTGAAAAAATATTCTTTAAAAATCTACGCCTTGGTGGAGCCTTGAAAAAATATTCTTTAAAAATCTACGCCTTGGTGGAGCCTTGAAAAAATATTCTTTAAAAATCTACGCCTTGGTGGAGCCTTGAAAAAATATTCTTTAAAAATCTACGCCTTGGTGGAGCCTTGAACAAATATTCTTTAAAAATCTACGCCTTGGTGGAGCCTTGAAAAATTATTCTTTAAAAATCTACGCCTTGGTGGAGCCTTGAAAAAATATTCTTTAAAAATCTACGCCTTGGTGGAGCCTTGAAAAAATATTCTTTAAAAATCTACGCCTTGGTGGAGCCTTGAAAAAATATTCTTTAAAAATCTACGCCTTGGTGGAGCCTTGAAAAAATATTCTTTAAAAATCTACGCCTTGGTGGAGCCTTGAAAAAATATTCTTTAAAAATCTACGCCTTGGTGGAGCCTTGAAAAAATATTCTTTAAAAATCTACGCCTTGGTGGAGCCTTGAAAAAATATTTTTTAAAAATCTACGCCTTGGTGGAGCCTTGAAAAAATATTTTTTAAAAATCTACGCCTTGGTGGAGCCTTGAAAAAATATTCTTTAAAAATCTACGCCTTGGTGGAGCCTTGAAAAAATATTCTTTAAAAATCTACCCCTTGGTGTAGCCTTGAAAAAATATTCTTCAAAAATCTACGCCTTGGTAGACCCTTGAAGAGCTCTTAAAACATATTCTTTAAAAATCGATGCCTTGGTAGATCCTTGAAAAAATTGTCTTTAAAAATCTACGCCTTGGTAGACCCTTGAAGAGTTCTTAAAACATATTCTTTGAAAATCGATGCCTTGGTAGATCCTTGGAAACATATTCTTTAAAACTCCACGCCTTAGATGGCCCTTGAAAACATATTCTTTAAAAATCCACGCCCTAGATGGCCCTTAAAAATATATTCTTTAAAAATCCACGCCTTAGATGGCCTTTGAAAAAATATTCTTTAATAAATCCAAGCCTCTGAAGGCTGTTAAAAATGTTCTTTCAAAAATCCACGCCTCTGATGGCCGTTGAAAAAATTTTCTTCACGCCAATTCAATCTCATGGCTGTTAAAAAAATATGTTTTTTAAATCCACGTCTCTGCTGGCTTTTGAAGAAATATTCTTTAAGAAATTCAAAATTTATTTTTCAGATTTTTTTTCTCAAGTCCCAATTTTCCAAGTACTTCCGTCAATTAAATTTAGATTATTTGCCCTCATTCTATCCTCGACAATGTTGTTGACTCTCTTATGTCACGATGCCCCTAATTTATAATTGAGACATGTGTGTGATGACGATGATGATGATGTTGATCCCCACTCTAAAACTCCTCCCTTTGTTACAAAATCTGTACCAAATGAAAATTCCCAACAGACCGCACAATTTAGGCAAATGAAGCAATTTTGTCACTTAAATGCCAGCCAGCGGGAATAAAGTGAAGCGATTGTTGTCCTTTTCTTGTCGTCGTTACAGTTGTTGTTGTTGGCAAATAATTAACTGCCTACAAGTTGTCGTTGCATGCACACACACTCACTCCCGCACGCTGGCCAACAAACTATGAAAGCCACAACACAAATTAAAGTCAAAGGAATAGCTGCTTCTGTTGTTGTTGTTTGTCCACTAAATGTCAGCAGAAATTTCCGCTTTTCCGTATGTTTGGAATAAACTTCATATGTATGCTAAGTGTTGGACCATTCTCCCACCACCACCCTCGCCAATACTTGTCGTAACTTCACCATGACTGTTTGACAAAGAAACACTTAATTGTTGTTGCTGCTGTCACTGCTTTTGGGCGATTGTGTGTTTACGCAACATTGTCACTCTAACATGACCCTTGCCGTGGTGTTGACTGACAAAATATTTTCCGACCCATCCTTTCTTCCTTCCGTTTGGCCAGAAATTGCCAACCGGTTTTTGTTGTCGTTGTCATTGTTCGAGACCCAGATTTAGTTTCAAATGAGACGAAACATGACTTATGGAAACCACACACATAAAATGTCATCGCAGAACTGATAGTGTCATTCAGCCCGTCGTCTCGGATGACCGTAAAATGTGTAGCAGCAACCATCAGCGGTTGGAGGAAGTTGTTGGTTAACTTATTAATAATTCTTAATGGGCTTGGACAGGATAAACAATATTCAGTGGACCATCAGATCATACAAAGCGCCAGTAGCGCAGAGTCCAACGATAACAAATGAGTGGATTTTTAAAGACTATTTTGGGGGCCTAACAAAGGCGTGGATTTTTTAACGAATATTTTTTCAGGGCCCATCCACTATATTTTTTTTCAAGGGCCATTATAAGGCGTGGATTTTTAAAGAATATTTTTTCAAGGGCCATTATAAGGCGTGGATTTTTAAAGAATATTTTTTCAAGGGCCATTATAAGGCGTGGATTTTTAAGAATATTTATGAGGGCCTAACGAAGGCGTGGATGCTTAAGAATATTTATGAGGGCCTAACGAAGGCGTGGATGCTTAACAATATTTTTGAGAGCCATTATAAGGCGTGGATGCTTAAGAATATTTATGAGGGCCATTATAAGGCGTGGATGCTTAAGAATATTTATGAGGGCCTAACGAAGGCGTGGATGCTAAAGAATATTTTTGAGGGCCTAACAAAGGCGAGAATTTTTTAAAGAATATTTTTCAGGTCCCAACAAATTCTGGGATTGTTTAAAGTATATTTTTTCAAGAGCCATCCGAAGCGAGGATTTTTTAAAGAACCATCCAAAGCATGAATTTTTAAATTGTTTTCTTGGACATTTATTTTTCATGGGGTGTTTATTTTTTTAGAAATTTTTTCTTAGGATTTTTATAGGAGTGAATTTTTAATTTATATGTTTTAGAAACCTTCTATAGACGTCCGTTTTTAAAGAATATTTTTCTAGGAACCTCATATAGTCGTGGTTTTTTTTAAAGAATATTTTTTCGAAGGCCAATTAAGGCTGGAATTTTTTCAAGGGAACAAAAAAAGTCCTGGGTTTTATCCCTTTGTAGGGCGAAGGATCATTCACGTAAATGGATTCCTGGATTTTTTAAAAATATTTTTTTAATGAAATTAATATGTCCTGGATTTTTAAAAATATTTTTAATGGGAGTAAAGGCCTTTCTAGGCATTTTGATGGTCTTAGGTGTATTTTCCATCCGAAGTGATTGCCACTCCGGGACCCTAGTTGGTAAACCACTTCTTTACAGAACATTTCCTGATAAGTAATTATACCCTAGACAACTATATTGTCAGGGTATTATAGCTTTGTGCAGCCCCAAGAGTTTGTAACGCCGCGAAATATTGGTCCTAGACCCACATTTAAGTATACCGATCATATCCCGACTAGCTAAGTCGTCTGTCCATTATAATTCGTAAACTCGACGCAGGCCACATTTATAGGCCAATCTTCATGAAATTTTTCATGTAGGATGGGTTCGGCCCAATGATGATCCCTATTGTTTTTGGTAAAGATCGGGTAATACTTAGGGGATGAAATATTCCAAATACTTAGTTTTTGTCGTTTTTCTGGTCGCTCCATAGGCCGCGGTAATGGCCCAAACGTCCAAACATCTCTTTTATATGGAGAAAGGGATTGGGCCAAAGAATAAGCATGCCTGTTTTGATAAAGATCGGTCAATATTTAGCGGGTCAAACGACTTTTGTGAGAAAAAGGACAAAATTTGTATTCTATGGCGTACATATTTACTCCTGAAGGACATATACCCGAGAAGTTGATAGCATATCCAAGAGGAGTGGTTGCTCATTAAATTGACATCAATTATATTGTCGTATGTACTAAGATGTAGGAGTTACACGTAAATATTTACAGGTACTTACGTATTCAGATATTATTTAATAAATCATTACTACACTATGGGGCGGAAATATAGCGCTGATCCCTTTGAAAGGTTTCAACAGATTCCAGAGTTGGTCAAGGACAACGCCTTTATTTTACGGTGATGATCTGATAATAGTTTTTGGATGAAGTGGACCGATAACTTCTTTTTTTGTGTTTTTTTTTTCGTATTTTTTGATACAATTATAAGCATAAATATCACAACACAACCCACGGTGAAGGGAACATAGACAAGTAATTAAAAGGGAATCCGCAGAAAGATAGAGTTCTGTGGTAGTTGTGTAGGTCGGCCCCGTCCGACTATACTGCTCCGCTCACTGGTTTTATATAATATTTTTTGTATATAAATAAATATTATCGATACGCACCTTATTAAGTTGTTCTGAATTGTAACCAGCAACCAGGAACAAAATATTCGAACAGACATCCTGTGTCATGGCATTGTCATGACAAACCACCTGGGTTTGTTCGACAAGGAATTTCGTATTTGGCATAAATTCGGTGATGCGTAACATGCGTGTGGCAGCCTAATTATTGAGAAAGAAAAAAACATTATTTTAGATATGTACGCACATACAATGGAAATCAAAATTGACGAACAATAAATCAGAGGTTGTATGAACCATGCCTTCCCTTCAGGCACACCTACCGTTAAAAAGTCCAAAAACAATACCAAAGTGCGGAACAGAGGGCTCTTCATATCAGCAATATAGGCAATGGGAGCCAAGGCATGCATTGACAAAATTTTCTGGGCATATTGTGGCTGTTCCGAACACAGCACCCAAAAGACGGCAGTACCCTGAAATATTCACAAAAATTATTTTTTTTATAAAATTAAAATAATATATAAAAATTAGAATGCATTCACTCAATATTCACCTGAGAATGTCCAATATAATGCAGTTGATCATAACCCGTCTTGGCCAAAATATAATCAATCGATGCAGGTAAATCATATTTACCCATTTCATGGAAGGTGAAATCCCAAAATTCCATATAATCACTGTTGAGGCTGGTGTGATTTTTCGAGTAGCGATTACCACGGGCATTACCCATCCACACATCATAGCCCAAATCGGATAGCATATAACCTAAAATAAGCATTTGTCACATGTGTATATAAAAGTTATTGTTGTAATTAATTTATTCGCTGCTTACCTAACCCAGATTTGGGACCCATTAGCACCCATGTTGCCGACGTATCCAATATGCCGTGCATCAGCAGCACCGGCTGGGCTCCCTTTTTCGGTATTCGATGCATTTCCAGTATGTAACCATCCTTTGTTACCACGGTATGCGTTTCCGAGGGATAGCCATATTTCCGTATTAATTTTGGCTAAAAGAGGAGGAAGAATGAGAAAAATAAAAAAATGGAAATGAAAATTACTGGGCACAAAAAGTTTTACGTGCAACTACGTGAGAAATTGCAAATTTATGACGATTATTTGTAAAAAAAAGTTTTGGTGTTTTTGGCTTGGGTTGGGTCCTTCTTAAATACTTTGGCATTGCCCAGTTAAATTATTTGCATTGGATTTCCAATTAAAATTTTATTTCTGTATTTTGAATAATGGTGTTTGCAATAAAATAATTATTTTGTATCTACTATCAGTTAGCTGTGTAAACAAATATCAATGCTGATTTGTTTAATGTAAAATTAATTATTATTTGTTAATGACGTCTAGTCATGATTTGATAATTAGTATTTTCTCATGACTAGCAATGGGGGGAAATTAAACAATAATTAAACAATAATTCAGAATTCTATAGAAATATTAAATAATATTAGTGGAACTTCTGTACAACATAAAAACTGGGAATTAACAATTTATAGTTTTACAGATGAAAACCATGGAATTCAAACGCGGCATGTGAAACCAAATACGGAAAATATTTTGTTGTTGTATTATTTCCAAAAATAAAAAAACAAAATAAAACCAGTGAGCGGAGCATTATAGTCGGACGGGGCCGATCATACGATACCCTACACAACTACCATGAAAAGCAAAATTTCTGCGGTTCTATATTCTGAGTCTCGGCAATATTTCATGATATTTGCACCCTTTTTGCCGATTATAGATCAAGAACTTCACTTTCTAACCCTGGCATATGTTCCAAAATGTTTTTGCTTGAAGTGGATTTTTACGCCTTAAAATAACTAATTGGTCACCTTAGGTTTTTGTTAATTTGACCCTTGGAATATTGACCGATCATCATCTACACAGCCGCTCTAAGTATTTGGTCAGATCCCCTTCATCTTGTAAAATATGTGATATTCTGCATATAATTATTGCCTCTAGAGCGACTAAAAAATCTGACAAAATTAAAGTCTTCGGTTCATTGCACTCCCTGAATGAAATCTCAACTTCACCGAAAACTATAGGCGTCGTCCTTGAACATAATCGGAAATTCATGTACAATTTTAAAAGTGATCAGCGCGACATTTCCGTCCTCTAATGGAGTAATAGTAATACTAGGCACATAGTCACCTTTACCTAATTACGGATAACTCCCACATCGGAGGTATATGTCCTTCAGGAGCAAGTATATATGCCCCAGAATAAAGATTTTGTAATTTTTCACACAAAAGTCAGGGTCCATTTGACCCGCCAAATATTGGCCGATCTTTTTTAAAACAGGCATGCTTATTCTTTGGTCCGATCCCCTTTTCTATGCAAAAATTCGGGGTGTTTTGCGGCCTCTGGAGCGACCAGAAAAACCGACAACAATAAAGTTTTTGGTCCATTTCATCCCGTAAATATTAATCGATCTTTTCCAAAAACAATTGGCCAGAACCCATCCTACATGCAAAATTTCGTGCAGATTGGTTAATAACTGTGGCATGTATCGTGTTTACAAATTAAAATGAACAGACGAATGGACGGACTGACGAACACACATGTCTAGATCGACTCAGCTAGTCGAGATCGGTATACTTAAAGGTGGATCTAGGACCAATATTTCGCGGCGTTACAAACTTGGGGCTGCACAAAGCTGTAATACCCTGACAACATAGTTGTGTAGGGTATAAACACCGACACAACTATGTTGTCAGTGTATTATAGCTTTGTGCTGCCACAAGAGTTTGTAACGCCGCGAAATATTGGTCCTAGGCCCACCTTTAAGTATACCGATCGTCATATTTCGACTGGCTGAGTCGATCTAGACATGTGTGCCCGTCCGTCCGTCTGTCTATTATAATTTGTAAACACGATACAGGTCAAAATTATGGACCAATCTTCATGAAATGTTGATGGGTTCTGCCCAATGAGGACCCCTATTGTTTTTGGTGAAGATCGGTTAATACTTAATGGACCAAAAACTTTATTTTTGTCTGATTTTCTGGTCGCTCCAGAGGCCGCAATTATGGGCCAAACATCGCGAATTTTTACATGGAGAAGGGGATGGGGCCAAAGAATAAGATCGGTCTTTATTTATCTGGTCAAATGGGCCCTGACTTCTGTGTGAAAAATTACAAAATTTGTATTCTATAGTGTATAAATTTACCTCTGAAGGACATAGACCCGAGAAGTTGGTGGTATATTCAACAGGTGTGTTTGACCTTTAAATTGATACCAATTATATTGTCGTATGTACTAGGATGAGGGACTTACGCATAAATATTTACAGGTGTATTCTGATATTATTTAGTAACCCATTACCACACTAGAGGGCGGAAATATAGCGCTGATCGCTTTGAAATTTTCCATGAGGTTTAAGTTATGGTCACCGACAACGTCTATAATTTTCGGTGATGATTAGATAATACTTTTGGTAAGAAGTGGACCGAAAACTTATTTTTTTTCGAGTCGATCTATAGGCCAAAATTGAAAGCCGAACATCACAACACAACCCACGGTGAAGGTAATCTGGACAAGTGATTAGAAGGGCTGTACTGAATATCTGTAATATTTGTTGACCAATAGTCGGTTAAGAGTGTGCAAATATCGCGAAATATTGCCCAAGCTCAGAATATAGAACCACAGAAAGTTATAGTTTCGTGGAAGTTGTGTAGGGTATCATATGGTCGGCCCCATCCGACTCATTGGTTTATTAATAAAGTAATTTTTCAAAGCAAGACAAATATGATAATCGCTTGGTGCCAAGTTCGGACTGTTTGGCGGATGCATTAGAACTTCCCAACCAAGCTCCCAAAGCTTCTGGCGAGTCACTTGAGACAGCAACGCACACAGGACTTCATTTCGGGGGGCCCGGTAGTACAAAATGAAAAAATTCGCTGTTGCAAACAAAAATTTACTGTGAAAAAATTCCTGACTTGAGATGTGTGTGGCCTAGCGTTGTCCCGGTGGAACATCTTCTATCTTCAAACGGTCCAGTTGTTGACAGTAGAGATCAAAGTTTAGCGTTTGGCCATTTGGAAGCAACTCATAATAAATAATCCCCTTCCAGTCCCACAAAATACATAACAGAGCCTTCATGGTCGTTAGTCCTCGTTTTCTTCCGTTTGAGGTGCTTTATCGCTCTTTGAATCCAGCTTTGTGTAAATGGTTTAAAACAGTTTTATGGTCGATAATTTCTACGATTTTATCGACATTTTCATAATGGATTTCTTTTTCCCCAACATAATAAAAGCGAATGCTAAATTCAGTGTGGTCTAAACTTGGGAGAGCCAAATATTTACACGAAGGGTTTAGTGCAACTATCGGTAATATTGGTCCATCATCTAAGGTACTTTCTTATAAACCGTCACAATTTTTGAAAAGTATCTATTTTTCATCAACGCCAAGACGAAACGGCTGATCTTAAAATTTGAGATGAGGCTGATCTTAAAAATTGAGGTGAGACACCTTCGAGTGTCAGATAAAGCTCGGTTTTTGGAAATTCGTACTACAATGGTACAAAAAGTACAATATGTGGTACCATTTGTATTTGCCGAACCGCTAAAGCTATATTAAATTTGGAACGAGGGTCACTGATGGAGTGTAGGATAGATACCAAATGGTTTTTGAAAACTAGAAGGATACTTTTAGTTTCCAAACGTACTAAAAGGTACTAAATTTTAAAGGATAGAGCTGTAAACATTGGAATGCGAATTAAGGTTGATAAGTCGGGCCAATATAAGGTGGTGGTTTTGGAAGTGTGTATACGAAAAGTATTAAATTTAATACAATTTGAATGTGGAGGAACGGATGGAGCTGGAATCCTGCTGTCGTTTTGGAAATTTTTACATATGTGTACAAATGTACTAAAAGATACTATATTTTGTACAATTTGGATTTGGATGAAAATTAGATTACTTCTACTTTGTACAATTAAAGTATGTAGTTAGTTATGGAAATTCGTACATATGTGGACTAAATTGTACTAATTTTGTTACAATTAAAATTTTATGCTGGAATCCTGAAATTTGGAATTAAGACTACTATTGGAGTCTAGGATTGAGTTCTGTACTGATTGAGTACTATGGGTATTAAATGTACTAAATTTGAATTTAGGTGAACCGATAAAGCTGGAATCCTTAAATGTGGAATTAAGATTACTGGAGTATGTAGGAAGTTTTGCAAATTAAAATAAGTAACATTATACTAAATGGGTGATAATTGGATGGTATCCTGGAATTGGAAAATATGAAATGGGATATATGATTTCTGTAATTGGATCTGATTTGGATTTAGGATAACCGAAAGCAATTTGAAATAATGTGGGGAACCATTATATTTGGGCTATCCTTAAAAGTGGACCAATAGAACCCAAATTCAATCCAACATAGTTGAAACTCGTTCCTAAAATACCGAATATTTGGTTGTCATGATATGTGGGAACTCACCCACTTCTATTTTCCTATTTTCAATACCAAAAATCCTAGGATTTTTGGTATTGAAAGCTCTATTTAACATCTTGCTGTATTCTAATTTCGTCTGAGGTCTGAGTACATATATTTCAAAACAAGTAAGAATATGCATATGAGCCCCATTAATAAAACATATGTAATTTGAACACTGGGGGGCCTTGAAAAATTCAACAAAAGTTTTAAAACAAAATTGATAATTTAGTGGTTCTAAGCGCATTTGCAATCGTGAAAATTGATCATATAGCGATTGTTCCGCTTGAACAGCGTATGAGGTCAATTTGCTGAAAGTTTGTTATAGATCCAGTTTTGATATAGACCTTATCCCTCCCGTCCCGTCCGTCCCGTCCTTTATCGGTATTGTGATTGTGATTTGGAATTGTCGGTTCTATGAGGACTTATTAAATTTGACAGGCTTTTCAGGGCGTCGACTTATTTTTTTTTTTGCTTTGACTTTAACTTCGCTGCCCCGTGTTGCGCTATTAAATGCTCTTTTATTATTTTCAAATGAAATTCTTTGCTGGGTTATT